TCTACATGACTGTTCAGAGGAGAAGATTTCCATACTCTTTAGCAAAATATATGCTGTTTGCAAGCCAGGTAAGATTTGACTGCTCTTTCCCCTTTTCCTTATCATGAAATAAGTTTATTTTAGCACTAGTGAAAAGGGTCATTTCCCCAAAGATTGCAAAATTAAATATTGAAAGAGAGTGTAAGGTTGCTATTACATGTGGCCACCTCTTGTCTGTGTTTTCCCCTATCATGTTTAACTCCACACAGTCTCTGGGGAGAATTGTCCTTTTCACTGTAAAATTGCAGTAAGTAGTGTATCAAAGGACAATTGCAAACATGTAAAAGTTGAATATTAGCTCTTAAGAACCATTAACATCCTTCTAATGACAGTTTTGATTAGAGCTTCACAGAATGGCTTTGAAGTACATCCTTGACATATCTTAAGTTGCAGTCTTGTACACACTTATCTGCAAATGAAAGCAGTAGGACTTCTGTTAAACACACCTAACTTTGTGCATTACATATTTTGTCTTCTCAAAAAAGAAAAAAGAAAAAGTGGAGTGATTATGATGCAGGGAGATCACTTGCTTTCTCCCCCACCTAAAAAAAAAAGGGGGGGGTATATCTAGACATGGTAATGTAGACTCCAGAGCTGGAAAGGAGACAAGTACAGCCAGTAATTAAAGCAGGTTTTTACTGCCCTGCCACAGTGTAGTGAATGAAGGAATGTGATTAATCGAGCCTTATATCACTGGCACTTTATTATTTTTAAATTTCACCGTTAAAGGCACTGGAGTGGTACAGTACAAAGCAGCCAGTCTCTTGAATCAAGAACAATATATTTAAAACTAAATCTTCATGTAAAATGTGTACCTTCAAAGTGCCAGCACTTCAGATAGCAATGTAAATTTTGAGGAATGTAAATTTTAAGCACTCCCCCCTCCCCCGCAACAATTAAACAGCTGTAGGTAATCAGGATTTTCCCACACTAGGGCTCCAGGTCAAAATAGAGAAGTGGGATGAAGCTGTTATTGGTGCAGGGGAAAGGGTTGAATTCCCCACACACACATACATGCAGCAATCCCAGTCCTGATGAGACTCTTTCCTGCAGCAGTTGCTCTTTTTAGCTCAAACTGCACATTTCTAGTTTAGCTGTACAAACACCTCTAGTCAGATAGAGCAAGTTTAGGAAAAGAAACAAATCTCCTGACTCTTAATAAAATAAAATAAAAACCTTCCTGTAGAGCAAGAGAAGACAAAATGCTAACTTGAAGTTAGAAATTTGTAACTAAACGGTGTTGTTGCTTTCTTTCTTTCCTTTAAATGCAGGCAGTGCTTTGCTGGTAGCAGAAATTGTGCTTGATGAGAAACGAACAAGCCCTGCTAGAGCTGTCCTGCAGTCCCTTAGTATGACGGAAGGCAAGCAAAGAACTGGCTTGGAGTATAAACAGTTATTGGAGAAACACGGATTCACCAATGTGCAGATTAAGATAACAGGAAACCTGCTAGATGCAATTTTGTGCTTTAAGAAAACATCTACTCATTAAATTAGATGGAGCAAGTAATTTGATTTACTGCCACCATCAGCTGGAATTAGTATAGATGTTTCTGTTTTGGGGTTGCACTAATGGTTGTCATGTTACAGTTTGAACTATGCATAAAAGCTTGTCCTATTTTGTTGATTAAAACAGTACTAAGAAAATCCGGTGACCTATTTTTTCCCCTACCTGGGAAATGCATTGCTTGCCCCTTTATATAATTGATGGCAATTTAGTTTCAAATCCATGTTTATTTTTTCTTACCATGTGCCCCTTGCAACCACTTTTTAAAACTCAGGAAACATCAAGGAAACAAGAGAGAACAAACTGTGCATAAAGCTACAGTTCCACTAACTTCAGCGGGACTACTATGTAGTTTCTCATGCAATCTGTACAGCAGTTTTTGAAAGGAATTGGTGTGTATTCAGGGCTGTATCAGATATTGTCTGTCTGTGCAAGGCTAAATGTGGCACAGAAGAAGAATCCAATACAACAGTAGCGCTAGCTACTTTATATTGTGAAATCTATTGTGCAACAAAGTTGCCAACAACCAGATCACACATTCTCTTGTGCAGCAATGTATCACTAGTGCAGTGTTTCTCAAACTTGGGTTCCCCAGTTGTTGTTGGACTACAACTCCCACCATCCCTTGCTAGCTGGACCTATGGTCAAGTATGATGGGAGCTGTAGTCCAACAACAGCTAGGAACCCAAACTGAACAGGTATAAGTGACTTAGCAATTCGCTGTGAACATCCATGCCAGGTTTAGTGGGCATGTAAGAGAAACTACATCCATATTTGGAGTGGGTCAGCATGGAATAAAACTTCAGACCATAAAATATCCCTCTCCATTTCAGTAATGGCATCAAAATGTGTAGATGGAGGTAGGGCCTCCTCTCTGATCCAGAATAATTTAGTTAAATAACATTTCAAGAAAAGACATGAATACATATCTCTTTGATTTTTAAAGAAATGTCTTTTCAGAGAACTTGAAATGAATTCAATCAAATGTTCTCAGTGCAGTATTCCTTCCCAGTTCTCTGTCCTAGGAAGCTGTATAGAGAAATGACCGTTTTTATTTAAAACAATAGGTATAAATTGCTTTCTAGATCTGCCAAAACAACTTGTGACTAGTTCTATTGTTTTGTGGATTTCAAAATATGATTATATACAGTTTACTTTGCTAAAATTGACTGGACTGGGGTTTTTTAGGGGAGGCATGCAAGTTTTTTCTTTGACCTCTGGTTCACTCCCTGAACCATGCTATATAATCGTCCAGAATACTATCTCCTCTCATCTGATAAAAGGAGGGAAGAGAGCTACTCAACGCTCACTATAGTAACTTTCCAAAGACTATCAGCAGGTGAGTTACAGATTTTTATTTTCTTGAGCTAATCTTGAAACCATAAATGCAAAGCATTAGCAAAGTTCCTTCATACAACATGCAATGTGCAGAGCAAAGGTCTCCCTGATGAATCAGACAAGGAACACTTTATATTGTAACAATTTAATTTGCATTTCAACCATAGAAAATTTATCCTGAAAGGTTTTTTGTTGTTTTTTTACACTGTGTTTCCTCTCTGTGTGCCCTCATGTTCCACATGCAACTTATACAATATCCAGAATGTGTGGTGGTACTTGTTTGTTTAATCTATTTGTCAAAAAATTAGTTCTTATTATTTTCAAGATTGTTCAAAGATATCTAAAATGAAATTTCCCAATCAGTGTGTTAACGATTTAAGTTCCAAAAATGATTTATTACCATATATTTGCATAACCATTTCTGAAATAAAAAACGAGCCTCCTGATATGTTTACTATTAATACAAAAGGAGTCACTTTCATTCTTTGAAAAGCACTATGAAATTAGTGAAACTATAGAGTATCATTGTTTACAATTAGCTTATTTCTAAATTTCCTCCTTCTTTTGAAATCACTTAATCATTTCACTGTTGGTGCTAAGTAACAGTCAAAGTATCAATTCATAGTCTCAACAAATCAACAGTTTTTGATATATTGTTACCTAGGCAAGTTTACTCAGAAGGCCCATTGAGTTAAATGAAACTTTTTCTTGGTAACTGCAGCTTTCAAATAAAAAGGTTGTTTAGTAGTTTGGCTGCAATCCTGTGTTATTTTCTAGTTATGAAGTCCCATAAAACCAATGGTACTTCTGAATAAATAAGGGTTTTACAAAAATTTGTGAAAGCCAGCTAACAAGTGAAAATGATAAAGCTTAAGCCAAGCCCATCTGCTGATGAAGATAAAGTACATGTGCTTAATTAAAAATAGTAAAGGAGAATCTAACATTACATGAAACTTTGAACCATCCCAGCTTGTGGGGCGGGGTGGAAATCACAGCTCAGTAAAGCAGTAACTGTCAATGTGAATGTGTACATATTTTAATATGTAAAAACAAAGTCCTGCATCATCTTAAAGTCTGCAAAGACACATGCCATGACAATAAATCTATTAGTCTTCTAGCTGTGTCTCCAGACTCCCTTGTTTTGGCTGCTACAGACTAACAGGCTGGTCCTCTGGAATTTATAAGGAAATATTACATACAAAAGGAAAATATCCAAGGACTTGCAACAATTATATATGAAAGTGCAGTGTTTCATAAGTGATAACACTGTAATCTTTCTACCCTTCACTCATGTCCTGTTGAAACAGAAGCTGTCAGGCTTCAGCACTGTTTGAAGCGTAATATTAATAGTATGGGACCATAATCTAAAACGGATGTAATATACGGATAGACTCTACAAAGCAATTAAACTGCAACACTGTCATGAACAAGGAGTTTCCTATAATGCGTCTAGAACCCATTTCAACTTTGCTCGTTCAGGCGACAGGATGAAGTTACCTCCAATCCAGGTTAAAAGAGTCCTGATAAAATAACCCACGATAACCAACAGGGTGAATTGCTGGCACAGCAAGCCCAATGCGGAATCTTTTCCCGACCCAACGCACATCGGGTACACAAATTAAGTCCCGCCGAGTTCAATGGGATTGACCTCTTGAATTTGGTGCTGCAACCTCGGGGCCTAGCGGGGATCAGGCCTGAGTCAACATGAACCGGGCCTGACTTCGTGCCAACTCAATGACACAACGGCCCATGCAGTCCACGCTTCCGCTCCCCGCAGCAAAGCACTTGGAGCGCTCACACGTGCACTTTACACGGGAGTACGCTCGCTGTAACTCCCCCTCGAGCCACAACGGGGATATAGCTCCGACTAGGACCGCAGCCCAGGCATAACACCCACCGGGGTCCGCCATTCCAATTTAATAAAGAATAATGATAATAATAAATTCACTCAACAGCTCTTCATGGGCGGGTTTCCTGGGCAAAGGAAGCGCGTCAGGAGGCCGCCTCTTCCTCCACCGGCCTCTGCGAGGCCGCGGATCCCTCCTCCTTGCGGCTGCCCCGCCAATGGAGCCCGGCGGGCGGAGCCTCCTGAGCCGGCCATTTAGCTCACGAGCCGGGCTGGCCCTTCCCTTTTCGGCGGCCTGAGTTGCGACAGCGCCTGTGGTCTCTCGCCTCGCAGCCCCTTTCCCCGCACACTCGCCGCTACCAAGCACCACCACCACCGCCATGGCAGACCAGGCCCTCTCCTTCGCCAAGGACTTCCTGGCAGGCGGCGTGGCGGCAGCCATCAGCAAGACGGCCGTGGCGCCCATCGAGCGGGTCAAGCTGCTGCTTCAGGTCAGGCCTCCTCGAGGGGCGCTTTTATTTGTGGGAGGGGGGGGTCTGAAAGAGGAGGCAGGGCTAGGAATGAGGCGTTTGTTGTGCGAGGCCCAGACCCCCCACTGCGCTGCTTTATTTTGTTTTTAATACGCATTCATGTGTGTATGTTTGTGAGGAACTACTTATGCCCTCGAAAGGCCGCTCGTGACGACGGCTGCGGCAAGGACAAGAGGCGCCCGCCCCGTGTGAGTCTCTGTGCGTGCGCGCGCGCGCATGGCTGCCGTTAGGCCGGTTCCGCTGTAGAAAGTTCGTTGGCGGCAGTTTGAATGCGCGCGGCGCTCTTCCCCTCCTCTTCCCCCCTCCCCAACCAACACGCAGATGAAAGGGTTCTCTCCTCATGCGGCGGGGGCGCCCGCGCCCGCTTCATTTCCTATGCCCCCCCTCTTTGTGTAGCGGTGTACTTAAGATGTAGAGGGCGGGAACGCAATGAGAGGTCGAAGGAAGCTGCCGCCGCCATCTTCTTTTGCGGCGACGTGTCGTTGATTGGTGCGACGGCGGCGTAGGGCGTCCGCGCCGATTGGATGCGACCGGCCTCCCGCCTCCGGGTCCCGCCCTTGCTCTCGTCTCGCGAGGCTTGGGCGGGTGACCCCTGCGGAGCGCGCGAGGTCACCGCCGCCTGTGCTGCAGTGGGGCCTAAGCCCAAGCCCCTCCCATCGGGCCGCAGCCGGGCGGATGCGTGACTGAGGCGGGGCGGGCTGTGAGACTCCCTATGCGGGCAGGCAGAGGAGGCCTCGCGCTGCACAGAGACACATAGAGCGCGACCTTTTCCAGACTAGTTCCGCCATGTACATCCAAAGGACATAACTTTCTCCTTTTAATTGGGGAGGATATAATCTGGACGGAGAGGGGCCGTCCAGAGCATCCGACTGGCACGAAGAAGGGCATGAGTTTAATGCTAAACCTCGGCATTGCCCGAAATCCCAGAGAGTCACGTTGTAGACAGATGACTCAGTGGCTGACTTTATTTTTTCAATTTATTGCATTTATATCCCACTTTCTCCCCCCCCCCCGCCGCCCAAATGAGCTCAAGGTCGCTTACATGTCTCTCCTCATCCTCATTTAATGTCCAGAAACAACCCTGTGAGGTAGGTTAGGCTTAGAGACAGTATCTGGCCCCAAGGTCACCCAGTCAACTTCCTAGCAGAGTGAGGAGTTGAAGTCTGGCCTTCCAGGTCTTTGTCTGACACTTTAACCGCTACGCCACACTGCCACTGACTCGGTATAAGGTGTGTCCAGCATCTACAGCCTACGCTACAAGTATGGGCAAAAACCACGAAAGGACAAGGCGGAAGAGAATGTTCTTTGGTAGCTTCAGAACCTGTGATGTTCAGTACAATCCTATGCACATTTGTTTTAAAAAGCCGACTCCACTGAGTTCCTTGGGTCTTTACTCTGAGATAACTGCATACAGCAGGGATGGAGAACCTGCCACAAGTCCCCATTTGGCCCACAAAGCTGTTTTGGGGCAAGCTATACCTACCTGCTGTGCATCTGATGTCAGGTGTGGGGAAGTTAAAGGTGGGGCATTGCCAAACAGGGCTTTGTAGGTCCTGCCAGTTAGCAGTGCCTGGAATTCCTCCATTATACAGAGATTCCTAAGAACTCAAAAACCAGCTGATACTTAGAGACACATGGGAACCATTATGATGTTAGGTGATTGACAATGGGGTTGAACCACACAAAATTGACCCATGAGTGGGAGAGTTAAGGATCTGGCCTACCAGACCAAAAAGATTCTCTACCACTGATGTACAGAATGGTAACCGAAGCTGTCAGTTTTATGAGTGTTTCTGCATGGAAGCAAAAGGGCACTTAGTTTAGAAATATAAACATATTTATTTAAATGAAAATCCCACAGTTAGCAATGAGGAATGGCTGTAGTTCTACTGGTTTAACTTCCTTTAGAAATTAAGTTGCAATAGCTATATCCCTGCTCATTAGTTAAATTTTTACAGTAAGCTGATATTTTCACAGTCTACTTGTGGCTTTAACAAGACTCATTGGAAGATTAACTACATAGTGAGCTAATAAGAGCATTTCTAAACTGCCAATTCATAGAAAATATGAGGGGAAATTAAAATGATTAGAGAACTAATAACCAACACTGAATTAAATTAATTCTCTGGAAACACTTGTTGAAACAAATATTTTCAGCAATGACAACATAGCCAGAATTGTAGGTGCCTATCTGATTTCAATAGGAATGGTGTACTAATGTCACTATACTAAAGCATAGTTTGAGTAGAAAGTCAATTTTGTTCCTTTAATGACTTAATTGGATTAAATTATTCTATCCCATTTTCTCTAGCTCCCATTGTGACTTCAGATATTTGAAATGTATACTTCAGACTGAACCTGAAAGAGTAAAGCTTATTTGGAACCATACAATTTCTCATTTAGAGTAACTGTGAACATCTTTTTCTTGCAGGTACAACATGCAAGTCAACAGATTGCTGCTGATAAGCAGTACAAAGGAATCATTGATTGTGTTGTCCGCATTCCTAAAGAGCAAGGAATGCTGTCCTTTTGGCGTGGGAATTTTGCCAATGTCATCAGATATTTCCCAACTCAGGCGCTCAACTTTGCCTTCAAGGATAAGTATAAGCAAGTATTCTTAGGCGGAGTAGACAAGCACACACAGTTCTGGAGATATTTTGCTGGTAACCTGGCCTCTGGTGGTGCAGCTGGAGCAACCTCCCTCTGCTTTGTCTATCCTTTGGATTTTGCAAGAACCCGACTGGCTGCTGATGTTGGAAAAGCTGGCGCTGAAAGAGAATTCAAAGGCCTGGGGGACTGCCTAGTCAAAATCTTCAGGTCTGATGGTCTGCGGGGCTTATATCAAGGGTTCAATGTCTCTGTCCAGGGAATAATCATCTATAGAGCTGCCTACTTTGGGATCTATGACACAGCAAAAGGTAAATGTGATGGTCAGGCTGATACTGACAAGCAACAGGCCTTGTGTTTTTGAATAGTACCATGTAACTATTGAGATGTGCCTAGTAGCACAAGTAAAACTGATAGACTCATTTGCTATACTATCCACATAGAGGCGGGGGGAGGGAGCTAAACCACAGAAAGTGTTGGTTTACAAAGCCACACAGATTATCTAGGGAAGAAAACTCCATGTGAATCAGTTTGACAAAATGAACCAGCTTTAAATAGGCATTAGGCTGTGTGTCACTATTTGGTTCTGTACTCGATGATGGAAACCTCTCTTGGAGTGCAGGGAGTGGAACCCTGGGCAGTCACGGTTGAAGAGGGTTATGAAAGAGACTAGGAGGAAAAAGATCAAATGAAATGTTACTTATACTAAAGGGAAAGTTGTAAAAGCTAAAGTGGTTACATTAACTGTTCCTATAATTTTAACTGTAACCAAGTATGTAAGTTACCCAAGGCTGTTCATTTAGGGCAGAGGACTAGAGCTTAAATTTAACTGCTGTAATCCCAAAGCTCATATTATTGAGATGGATTTTAGTGGCGATTCTGTATTTAGATGTTCTGGATTTTTGTTAATTAAATAAGGTGTTGACACCTGAATGGAGTATCTTTCCAGTAGCGCATATCTCACTGTCTACCAAAGAGATGACAGGGAGGAGCATATTTTAAAAACAAAACAAGACTTTACTAAAAGAACTGAGGTTGCCTGATCAGAGGTGGCGTTAAAAAATAGCAAAACATTAAAATGTAGGTCATAACTAGCAGCCAGTGAATTCCCCTATATGGATTCACTCCCTGAGTAAAAGAGGTTACTGTCCATTTGGACGCAAGCAGACTAGAACTTCAGATTTGACCATACATACTAGCTGCAGTGTTAGTCACAAGGGATTATACACCTTCTCTAGTAACTAGATATTGAGAAAAGGCTCCATTAGTTGTGTGTTAATGGCTGAATCATAAAACAGAGGTAAACAGAGTTGCCTGTAATATGATCTTCTATATTAACCAGGAAGGCAAAATTCAACAGTTGAGCATTATTTCATGATACACCATAAAGTGCCCCAAAATACGTATTCAAATGTTGCGTAATGGTAAACAGATCCTTTCTTCAATTTTCAAAATGATGCAGAAGTTTTGTTTTTTCATTATAGGTATGCTCCCAGATCCTAGAAACACTCACATTTTTATAAGCTGGATGATTGCACAATCAGTGACTGCAGTAGCTGGTGTGGTTTCCTATCCATTTGATACAGTGCGACGTCGAATGATGATGCAGTCTGGACGTAAAGCAGGTAAGCAGCACATAAAAATAAGCCAATTTTACATTAAGCATCAGCCTGATAGTCCTGTGCTGCAAGGAATTTCATGCAGATGTTTGCTTGAAATTGAATGCAAACCTAGTGAGCAGGCTAACAGAGGAGAGAGCAGAGTGCTAGATCTCTTCTGCATTTCCCACATTGAAATCACTGGGTTGCTGCAAGAAGGTCAGAACTCTCCATCTTTAACAGGGTAATAAGTAATGTTTATGGGCTATTAAGGGGGACGCGGGTGGCACTGTGGGTAAAACCTCAGCGCCTAGGACTTGCCGATCGCATGGTCGGCGGTTCAACCCCGTCATTCGGTCCCAGCGCCTGCCAACCTAGCAGTTCGAAAGCACCCCCGGGTGCAAGTAGATAAATAGGGACCGCTTACCAGCGGGAAGGTAAACGGTGTTCCGTGTGCTGCGCTGGCTCACCAGATGCAGCTTGTCACGCTGGCCACGTGACCCGGAAGTGTCTGCGGACAGCGCTGACTCCCAACCTATAGAGTGAGATGAGTGCACAACCCTAGAGTCTGGCAAGACTGGCCCGAAGGGCAGGGGTACATTTACCTTTACCTTTACCTATGGGCTATGTGGCTTTTAATTATTTTTGGTGGCAGATGTGAGCACTTTTATGCTGCGCGGAATGCAATACCACCCTCTTGATTGTGCTGTTCTGGGTGTTCTCCCAACCCCCTAGAGCTGATTTGGGAGAGGTGCAGGGGGAAGAGAGAGGGGAAACGCCCCATTGCGCTAGTGGAAGTGATTGCTCTGGCTTCCACTAGCACACTAGGTTAGGTGAATCTGGCGCTGTGTCTCAAATTTGTTTCTGTTCTACTAAGCTTCAGACACCATATATATAGACTTCGCATTGATTCTACATAAGTAGTTAATATTTAACTCCTGTTAATACTCATTGTAATTTAGTTCTTCTGGGGTCACAGGACGAGACTGCCCTCATATAAGCATTGTAAAATTGGCTTAGTAGTAACAACTGGGATCCTTCTTCTACCCTACACCTACCCCCAATAAAAGCAGTATATTATCTAGTTTCAAAGTAATATTTGAAGAACAACTTTCTGTGCATAGATTCTACAGTGTGTTAGCTCAGTACTGCTTTTACATTTCTCTGGACAGAAATTAACATGATAGTCCTGCTGTCCTTGAAACTTTGTATTTATTAAATTTATATACTGCCCTTCATCAAATGATCTCAGGGTGGTTCACAGAATAAATGCTTCAAGTAATCAACTTATTTTTCCTACAGCTGACATCATGTACTCTGGAACAATTGACTGTTGGAAAAAGATTGCCAAAGATGAAGGTGGAAAGGCTTTCTTCAAGGGTGCATGGTCTAATGTTCTTCGAGGCATGGGTGGTGCTTTTGTGCTTGTGTTGTATGATGAGTTCAAGAAAGTCATCTAAAAATACCCTTACTAGAATTGTAAGTTAAATTGACAGATCATGTAGAATAACTTGCCATTATGGACCATTGATCTTTGAAAAATTCCTGTGTGGAGTCTTATTTATCGGGGCCAGATTGTGTTTAAGTAGGGCTAGAAACTGCCTTCAGTGAACTGATAACACTTTGAGATACCATTATTCCGGCATTGAAACAGACAACTCAGCTTACTGAGTTTGTCTATTTTTGGTGATAATCGTAGTGCTAGCAGTTCTGGGTCCAAGGCAGCTGAACTTCACTGAAGAGCAGCCTGAAGTTTCAAGTCCTATCTTAGAGGACCATAAAATCATGTTTTGAGAAGTATTCATTTAACAAATCATGTTTTTCCACTTGTACTTAAGCACTATGTACTGTTTGCACAGCTGAACATCTAGCATTTGTGTTCTCAGAATTGAGGCATTCTGTGAAATAATAAACAAAATTAACTCTGATGTATTGAATTTACTGTTATAACTTGATGTTCAGGGTCATGCCTGCTATGCAGTATGGTAATTCTACCAGCTTCAGATAGGGGAGTGAACACGGATGAAAAATTAAATTGGTGCAGCAGGATTTTGTAGAGGAGTGGGCCTAGCTGAGGGGTGGGTAACATTTGAATTTGACTTGGCTTGGCACTGCAGATACCACATTTGATCACTGGACATTAATGATTGAACTTCCACTTTTAAATTAAATGAGTAAATGAGATCTACTTTCTGAGACTTCCAGAGGTTTGACTACATCTTTATGACAAATGGGCAAAATAGTTTGATTTAGAATCCAAGGAACCTGTTTTGAATATGGTAACACTCGAACCTGCAAAATAATTTTTTAAAAATGGCTTGGCAATGCTTATGTACATAATTCATTGTATGACAATTGGGCCCCAAAAGAGAAGTGGTGGGGAGCACGGCATAAAACCACATTGGAAAGCAGGTAGGTGGATTTGAAATAATTTGGATTTGTACAGCTGGTGGTTGTACTGATGACATCAGCTGTCAAATTAACAAAGTGAATGAAGCAGCACTTCAGAGCAATATAATTCATTCATAAATAGATAAGGTATATTCAGTGTTTCCTTTGTGTATGCATAGTACAAGAAGAGCATTTTAATAGCCCAAATTCAAGATTCTCTGCTTTGAAAAACATTAGATAAATCATAGAATTGTGGAGTTGGAAGGGACCTCAAGAGTCATCTGTTCTAACCCCCTGCAACACAGTAATATTTTGCAGCATGACTAGCTCTGATGCAACTATTCTAGTGATGATTAGGATTACACAGTACATTAGAAATGGTTTTTATAAACCTTTATTAACTCCTTTAGCAAGAGGAATTAAGAGCTAAAAACGCTAATGATATTTGTAAAATCTCAGTGCAGGGCACAAGACATCAATACACTAAAACTTAAAATCACAACACATGAATGCGGAAGTATCACAATAATGATCACTTAAAGCTTGGCTGGCAATAAAAACCAGCAAAATGTAAGATTAGCTAATCAACTGAGTGTCTTAACAGGCTTGTTGTCAAAAAGCCTTGTTGGCCAATAAGGCTCATTTATTGGAGCAGTGGGCATCTTAAGAAAATGTTGATATCTTGATTTCGATGAAGCATGGCAAAGATAGACTACAAACATTACAGTAGCCCCTGTCCTTTAGAGTAGTGTTTCCCAAACAGTTAAGTTCCCCAACCCTTCTGAATTTAGTGCACCCAATCTATAACCCTTTATATTTTAGGGGACAGAAATTTTGTGTAGATAGTTCAGCTGCATCTACCTTGCTGTCATCATTGCCACTTCCTTGTGTAGCAAAATGACAGCTGACTTGATTTCTGTGTTGGCCCCTACAGTTGGATATATATATATACACACACACACAAGCACAAGCTTCTTTCTCTAGCTGTTACTTGCATAGGAAACCTATCCCTGGCATTGTCTTCCAGTGTGCTTGAGTAGCAGCTTTTGTACTTGTATACATGCATTTGCAGCTGAGACGAAAGGAAGCACCAAAATAATAGCATTTCCCTAATTTATTTGGGGTAGCAGCTGGCTAGTGAAAATCTCATTGTTTTTGCAATTCACAATTCATTTCTTCAACCACTGTTATTTTTTCATCTGCTGCTGGCATCAGGTCCACCCATGTTTTCTACAAAAAGGGAAAATAAAAATCCCCTTAAGGTTAATTCCTAAGGCGCGTGACCACTTCAGTTTCACTTCTTTATTACAGCTCATAACAAAGTTCTGCTAGCATAGCCAGTATTGAAGAATGGTGTGCTGGTGGTTGAGTTTTCCACAGTTCCTTCAACATTTAGAAAATGACAAATGGAAGCTGCAGCAAACACTTTTTGCAATGCAGCTTTTCCTCTGTAATATATTTTCAGTTCAGCCCTGTTTCAAATTTCCACAGAGTGGCTAGGGAAATCCAGCCAGGTGGGCGGGGTAGAATTATTATGGTTTCAATATCTCCAATTAAGTTAAAACTTACTTGAAAGTCCCATTTCTTTTAGATGAAACTAAGCAACTAACATTGGCACTAAAATGTCAGTAAAATTACTAGTTTCTTACACAGGCCTTCCACTGATGGAGCTAGTTAGGTGAATCCCACCCATTATAACTAGAAACTCTTACATTTTTTGTTTTTATGACCACACAGATAGGTTTGGGGAAGTGGTTACAGTGTTTGGAGACTTCCATCGTTCATACACGATGCTTCAGGGTTCCGTCCTCTCCCCCATGCTTTTTAATATCTATATGAAGCCGCTGGGAGAGATCAGGGGGTTTGGGATGGGTGTTCATCAGTATGCAGATGACACCCAGCTCTACCTCTCCTTTAAATATGAACCAGTGAAGCCTGTGAAGGTCCTGTGTGAGTGCCTGGAGGCGGTTGGAGGATGGATGGCAGCTAACAACAGATTGACAAGACAGAAGTACTGTTTTTGGGGGACAGGGGGCGGGCGGGTGTGGGGGATTCCCTGGTCCTGAATGGGGTAACTGTGCCCCTGAAGGACCAGGTGTGCAGCCTGGGAGTCATTTTGGATTCACAGCTGTCCATGGAGGTGCAGGTTAATTCTGTGTCCAGGGCGGCTGTCTACCAGCTCCATCTGGTATGCAGGCTAAGACCCTACCTGCCTGCAGACTGTCTCACCAGAGTGGTGCATGCTCTAGTTATCTCCCGCTTGGACTACTGCAATGCACTCTACGTGGGGCTACCTTTGAAGGTGACCCGGAAACTGCAATTAATCCAGAATGCGGCAGCTAGACTGGTGACTGGGACTGGCTGCCGGGACCACATAACATTGGTCTTGAAAGACCTACATTGGCTCCCAGTAAGTTTCTGAGTACTGCACCAGTGTTGGTGCTGACCTTTAAAGCCCTAAACAGCCTCAGCCCAGTATACCTGAAGGAGCGTCTCCACCCCCATCGTTCAGCCCGGACACTCAGATCCAGCGCTGGGGCCTTCTGGCAGTTCCCTCATTGCGAGAAGTGAGGTTACAGGGACCCAGGCAGAGGGTCTTCTCAGTAGTGGTGCCCACCCTGTGGAACACCCTCCCTTCAGAAGTGAAGGAAATAAGCAGCTATCCTACCTTTAAAAGACATCTGAAGGCAGCCCTGTTTAGGGAAGTTTTTAATATTTAATGCTGTAACACTTGATTGGGAGCCGCCCAAACAAACACTTGTTTGTAACACTTGATTGGGAGCCGCCCAGAGTGGCTGGGGAAACTCAGCCAGATGGGCGGGGTATAAATTACAAATAATAATAATAATAATAATAATAATAATAATTACACAATTGTGGAAATATTTTACTAGACTAGACAAAATTCTAGCATGCAAACATCTCTAGGAATGGGGGAAACTGCTACATCAGCAATTTCATGGCACCTTCTGTGTGGCAGTAAGCAATCACATAGCATTACTTTGTGAATTACAGCCATTCATCTTTAAATTGTTTTAAAAACTGGCAGAATACTGCATTCAAGGCATTCTAGAACTTACCACATTCTCATATTGCCAAAGAACATCTTTTGGTTGTGGAACTGGAAAAGTTAGGCATCTCCATATGTGGAATCTGCAGGAAGGAAAATGTGGGGCTTTGACCAGGGTCTCAAATCCTGTTCTCCCTAATCCATATCCTCTTGCCTGCAGATGGAGAGCTTCATGCTTAGAAGGGGAGCACTCGCCCAAACAGCATGCACAGATAGGACATAGATTGAATTATGCACTATATGTACTGCATTGTCTTAAATCTTTAACAGATCCTCCTATTCAACATTTTGATTAGAATATTAATACGTTAGATTTTCATTTAGTGTTTTCAGGTCTTCTAGAAATGTTGAATTTTTCAGATCTCTTGGTTAAAACCCTAACAAAGAATACTCAGGCTTGTCAAATCTCAGAACAATGGTAATTAAAAATGCTAGCCATTTTCTAGATGCAGGTAAAATGCATTGTGTTTTACCTTTTCCAGATCAAAATCAGGAGCAAGATTGTTATGACGGTCCCAAGTACTACAAATATTAATAATTCTGTAGGAAATGGATTGGGGTCAGTACCTGAAAAGATAGGAAGGCATTAGTGCTAAGTGTATCATAAACAGGCCCAGCGTCAGCTTGTGACGTGGTTCTGGTCCTTAAAGGAGACCAGACCTGGTAACAACCTCAGCCTCTCTTGCCCCTTGGCTCTGTCCACATTGCTTGCTGGGATGGGGGCTTCCAGAGTAGTGCTTTTGGGGAAGAACCAGGATGGTGTTTTGCAAATCAAGCATCAGTCTTATATAAGCACACACGTACGGAAGTGTCAATCAACTGATCTGTCTCGCCAGAGTAAGGTTACCAGACGTCCCCGTTTCCCAAGGACAGTCCCCGTATTTACAAATCGGTCCCCATACAAAATCCACTGAAGTTGAAAAGTGTCCCTGGATTCATTGGAAAAAATCTGGTAACCTTACGCCAGAGTGGTACATGCTCTGGTTATCTCCCGCTTGGACTACTGCAATGCACTCTATGTAGGGCTACCTTTGAAGGTGACTTGGAAACCAACTAATCCAGAATGCAGCAGCCAGACTGGTGACTGGGAGTAGCCGCCGAGACCATAGAACACTGGTCCTGAAAGACCTACATTGGCTTCCAGTACATTTCTGAGCACAATTCAAAGTGTAGGTGCTGACCTCTAAACCCGAAATGGCTTCAGCCCAGTATACCTGAAGGATCGTCTCCACCCCCATCATTCAGCCCAGACACTGAGATCCAGCTCTGAGGGTCTTCTGGCAGTTCGCTCACTGTGAGGTCATAGGGAACCAGGCAGAGGGCCTTCTTGGTAGTGGTGCCCGCCCTGTTGAATTCCCTCCCATCAGATGTCAAGGAAATAAACAACTATCTGACTTTCAGAAGACACCTGAAGGTAGTCATTTTAGGGAAGTTTTTAGTGTTTGGTGTTTTATCGTGTTTTTAATATTCTGTTGGGTGGGAGCCACTCAGAGTGACTGGGGAAACCCAGCCAGATGGGCGGGGTATAAACAAATAAATAAATTGTTGTCGTTCCATTTCTAAGCAACAGGGGGACTGACACTAATATCATTCTTGATGTCTGTAAGGCTCAACTGCCAGAAACTTTCTGTAAGTCCTAGAAGCTGGAAGTCTTGGAAGTATGGGCTGTTTTCTTTTAAAAAAATATTTAATCTACAAATTTATATAGTTCTGCAAGCTGAGGGAGTCCTCTGAATAGATATATATAAACATTTTTGGATGGCTTTGTTTCTCAGGCTGATTGAGGCACACAAGCACCTGAGTTTACCATTAGAGAGAATAACAGAGAAAGGGCCAATGGAAAAAAATATATATAAATAAATCTGTAATCTTACCAAACACAATTGGTTTACTCCAGTCACTCCACTGTGTCCCAATGGGACAATACTGTCCAGCTGCACGGAGCCTCAATGAATATTTCCCACGTACCGTGTAATTTTGGTGGGTTTGTCCACTTGTTAACTAAAAGTAGAAGATTAATCTGCTTTATGTCTTTGTAGGTGAAATAGCATGCCAATTCATATTCATCAACTACTTATTTCATAAACTTACACACCACTTGATTGTAAAAGGAAACAAACCTCAAACAGTTAAGAAAGATAAAACAAGAAAATCAAGAAAAATTTACAGGCATGTTTTAAAGCATACTGGAACAGATTAAATGAGACTCTTAATATTAGGGTTGTGTGTTTGAGCCCTACATTGAGGCAAAGATTCCTGCATTGCAGTGGGTTGGACTAGATGACTCTTGGGGTCCCTCCCACCTCTACAAGTCTGTAATTCTGGGACACCTGCTTGATCTCAATAGGCAGGGAGTTCCAAAGTACAAGTGCTACTACACTAAATGATTCAGTTCTTACAAATGCAGAAGGGGTATTATGTGGCACCTGTAGCAGCCACATCTTAGGTGTATGTTTATTATATTTTGTATATAGGCACTTGTTGACTTCCCCATTCTAGATAATGGGGAACGTCGCCTAAGGCTTTGGAAATGGAAGGTAATCAGATCTGAAGCACAATGTCACATTGAATATCTGAAGCAATGAAGCAGGTTCCAAACCAAATATTTATTTTACTTTGTGTTGCCCATCTTTTGAGGATTCTGGATATATTTTTTGCTATATTTTCCCTTTTGGACCAAATCTGGACACCTAGATAGAACATCCAGTCAGATGGGTGGGGTATAAGCAATAAAATATAATTAATTAATTGATTGATTGATTTCAGAATGCTGTGGACAAAGAATACTATGCTGCCTTCTTAATATTTATAGCCCAGCTTTCTTCCAAGGTAGCATACACATGATTCTCCCGTTCTAAAATTCAGTTCACATGCCTCATGTTTATATAAGTTAACAATACTTACCGTTGAAATCTGGCCTCTGATTTCATCCTTAGAGACAAAAAAGTAACGTTTTTAGTTGGTTTTCATTGTACTTTTTCAAAGTATGCTAGCTTTCACAAATTTGGCTGTATACCTTAATTAGCAAGGAAGGCAAAAGTAGTCAAGAGTAACCGATAATATCGGAGGACAGAGGGCTGACTTCCTTGTGGGTGGATTATTAACTTCCCCCACAATCTTCTCTTTTTTTCATTGTGTAACACACACACACACACATTATAAACATAAATATTAAAAGAAGACAAATGAGTTATAGAAGTTCACGTTTTTCCATACATTAATAGATGTGAAACTTTACAAAATGGTGTTTGGCTTCCCACAAGTGCTGACCATAAAGCACCAGGCAACCATTTTGCATTCCTATAGACCAAGGATGGGAAAACTGTGATCCACCAGATGTAGGGGGATCCTGTCATCTATTGGCCTATGCTAACTGGGGCTAAGAGGAGGACCACAAATAGACCTCCATTGTTATAGTGCAAGGATTTGGCAGACCAGCTTGTGATGTATATAGGAACTCAGCAAATAAATGTATAGCCACAATCCAGTCATTATTTTAAATATGTAGGATAGACCTGGTATTTGTGTACCAGCATGCATACCTAAATTGAGCCATACGGTATGAAGCTAGGAAGGGCGAGATTTCAGAAACTAACATAGTTGCTGGATGCTTCTGCACATGGGTACATTGATGCACCTGCATGTATGGGGTGATGGTATATGCTGGTCAATGTAGCTCACACATTGCAACCTTGACATCACCATGAAAGACGGATGATGTGTCTATCCTCTTGGGGACTTTCTAGACTATATTGCAGACATTGGCTTTTGACTGAGAACAAAACAGCCAAGAAACATTAGTTGGATTCAGATAAAATACTATAAGCTTTTTCTAATAAGGAGGCTCAACAAATGAACTGAAAAGCGAGGCTGCAATGCATAATATGTTGGCAGGTCATCCCACAAGAAAAGTATTGCTCTATTTTATCTGAGGATTTTCTTACTCATGAAAGAACTGTACACAACTCCATCTCTACCAACCAAAAACCTATCTAAGAATGACCATTCACCCCGGTAGATAGGGAATAGCAGTCAAACTAAATTCCGTGTACATTTGAAATCTGACAAATTTTCAAAATGTGAAATGTTTCTTTCACCACGAATTTCTACATCAGATATCTGCATGTGACTAACTAGCAAAGGTAACAAAAAGCTATTCAACAAGCAAAACCACAATTAACCTCTTACCTTTATTTCGTACTTAAAGCAGTAGTCTGCGTTATCTTTAAAGGCACAGGGAGGGGGTTTCCATTGTACTTTGCATCCCCACGGCTGTTCATGACAATTCCAAGTGATATCTGCTGGTGGAGTAAGTTTTTCTGTAACGAAATAGCCAGTATTTTACTTGACAGGTGGAGAGCTGTGAAATTTCAAGGGCATCTGAGCGGTCAACTTCCCTGCTTCCAGTTCCTAAGCATGTCATATTCACATACATTGTGGGTAGGTGTCACTCGGCTTATAGCCAGGAATTTTGTGGTGAGAGGTCTTGAAGGGGTACAGGGTATGTGAATGCAGGCAGACAAATACATCTCTGAGGTTTCTTTAATTTTACAAGCATTTTAAAACAAAGGACTAGAGAAGGGATGAGGGATTTCTGACTCCACAGCCAGCCTAGCCTGTGATCAGGGGTGAAGAGATTTAGAGTCTAATAATATTGGAGGTAGAAGACAGAAGTGAAGACAGAAGTGAAGACTTGAAGACAGAAGTGCCTGGTGTGCTCTGGTCCATGGGGTCACGAAGAGTCGGACACGATTAAACGACCAAACAACAACAACAACAATATTGGAGGTTCACAGCTTCCCCATCCCTGATTTATAAGGTATCTCAAGATATCTAATTTTTTGCACTATGAGTAAACGAACAAACAAACCCCACCCTCCTTCTCTTACCATGATCAAAAGGCCAGAATTGCTGATCCAAAGGCTGAACCAGTGATTCTTCGCTTGATCCATTCACTCTGAGGGTAATATGATTCCCAGGAACTTTTATATTAGGAAAATGGCACCCAACATGTCTTCCAAGTTTATTATTTTTGTACTGGGGGCATTCTGTCTCTTCGCCATCGTTTTCGCTGCATGCCAAAACATTTTGTTAAAAACCCAGCCAGGAACAGCATACTCTAACCATTCCCTTCCCCACCCCCATTTAACAAATGAAAATGAATTACTGATATATCAAGTATAGAAAATACTGGACGTCTTTAGGAACATTCCTGCCAGTATCCCAAGTGCAATTCATTGAGGTAACACGAACTGTGTAAATGACACAGGATAAATTTTCAGCTGATGTCCCATTTTGTCCTGGGGAGAAAAAATAGGAATGGTCAGTGTGTGTGTGTGTGTGTGTGTGTGTGTGTGTGTGTGTGTAGCTCTGAGGCTGCATACCTGCATTGATTATCCTATATGTGTTTTATGAGATCAAACTATGCAAAGTGCTTCCTTTTTTTAATGTCAAGTGGCTTTTCAACACAGTTTCCACCACCAATGTTTATCCCTAGTGAGGATGTGATTCTCTATTGCTTACCTGCTGTCTGAGACTGGGTTGAAGAGTACAACTCTGATGACGAATGGCGGGAGCCTACCCCTCCCCCTGCTCATGGCCAGGATCCTGAAACTCCACAGGAGCAGTGGAGTAGTGTTGATTTGGAACAATGATTTGCTGAGGGGCACAGTTCAGAAGACAATAGTTGGGCAGAACTAGGAGGTGAACAGCAAGAAGAATGGGAAGAGAGTGAACTAGCTGACACTCTCTCACTGGAAGTTGTGCAGGCTCTGAGATTAGATAAGGTGACTGCGCAAAAGGCTCAAAGGTTGAGAGATCAGGTGGCTAGGAGGCGAGAGGATGGATGTGACTAGAGGGAAGTGGACAGAACCTTAATTGGGATCACCTGCACTCTGAGAATGGTCGCTTGCTCTTTTGCTCCGTACATTAAACATTTCTGTTACTGGTAAGAGACTGCTTTCTCTTTGTACTGCTTAACTACAGCCAAGAGGGGAGGAAGCAGAGTCCCTGAAGTCTGACACCTGCTCATTTCAGCTTCCGTTGAGCCTGTTCATGTAGCTGCTTGTTCATGTAATTTCATGGTAGTTTCATTCCTGTTTGCTGCAGTTTCTGGGAACTTCATGATTTGTTTTATATCTCATAGTTGTTTTTGTATCATCTTCAGCGGACACAAATGCTCCCTACTGTAATATGTTATTTGTTTATGGTACCTAACTAATCTTCTTCAAGTATCCATCTGCCCTGAGGTGTATTGTGTGCCTACATATGTGTATTATATGTGTGTGCGTGTGTGTGTGTGAGAGAGAAATCTTCAAGAAAACATGCTTCTTTCATCTCTCCTCATTTTCCATCTTACACCCACATAAGAACCAACCCTACTCCAAAACTAAAATGCCTCATTCACCCACACATTAATGAACTACTTTGGTAATAAATACATTTCCTTCCACTCTGATTTTGCCTGCTCTCCACTGTCACTCAACTGAGCTTCCGCAATTCTAACCTTCCGCAATTCTAACCATATCTATGCTAAAGTAAGTCCCACACAGTTCAATAGAAATGTATACTTACCCTGATTATTCGCAAAAGTAATAAAGAAAACAGAGCAGAACACTGTGAGGCAACTCATGTGAACAAATCCTATATTGGGCACCATACTGATTTTTCGTTTTTTATATAAATACACAACAATAAATCCTAAAATGAAAAAAAGAGTTTGTTTTATTTCATTGTTCTGCCACATTTTCATTGGAGTGGTATTCTTTGAAGTTACTCCATTAGGAGAATGGAACATTCTTTCCCTCTCATCTCCCTTTATGTCCACCCTGTGCCCTCCCTAAATCTGCTCCAGAGGATTTGAGGGAAACCCAGGAAAGGTTTGAGGGTGACCAGGCAGAGAAGAGTGAGGGGAAATGGAAATCCTTTTGCTAATGGAACAATTTCATTGGTTGCCAGCCTCGTTTTTTCTAGTTTATATGAGGGGACATGTAATACTGGAGCTTTGGTTTTTTTAAAAAAAGTTTCTGTTCTCATTTGTATTTATTCAGTTCTACATATGGCATGCCTACATTGTTTTCAGAGAACACGTCTTTGAAATACTCCTGACTAACTTGCAGTCTTCCAGTTGTTGTTGAACTACAACTTGTATCATCCACAGTCAGCATCCCATAGTCACCCAATATACAGTATTGAACTTAATGACAAAGTTTTTCTTTTTTAAAACAACAACAACCATCCAAAAAAATCACTGCAGGGCATTCTGTATTATGTTAGCATTACCCTCTTCTGTAAATCTGTTTTATCAAACACTGACACCTAACAATCAGATGATATATACATATTCCCAAGTTAAAAATTAAAAATGTATTGATAATTCTCTCTCTTTCTATATCTCTCTGCTTAAAAAATACACAAAGCTTAGGTTTTTGTTTGCAAAAAGTTGCATGGAAAACCCTACTAAAATTTCAAAACAAACCCCCATAAAATTCTTAAATTTGACATTTTAATATTGCCTGGTAAACAAGGGGAGAAAGCCCGGGTGTACAGATGGGGGAAAATAAATAAACGGGGAGTGGGGAATGGCAGGTTTCCACCACTCTCCACCCCCACCCCCCATGTAAGGTTGCAATCACATATGTAAAGTAAGTATAAGTTGCAGGTCCACTGTATATAGAAATATAGGTTGGTTACCTGTATTTTTCCAGCTTTTTGTTTGTCAGTTCTTTTCTTTCTCTAATCTTGATAGCAATCCAGTTCCTTTTCCTTCCAGGTATGAAAGTTCCCTACTTGTCCATCTGTTGATCTTTCATCATCAAGTACTGGAGCAATGGGTTATGTTTTGGGGAGTAAAAAAAGAATGTCCAATCTGTTAAGCAGTTGTTTTTTTAATACAGTTTGCACACAATAATATTTTTTGTCTAGTTCTTTTAGACATCGTTTTCACTAAGAATCTTTCCATTGGTCTAAAATACTGATTTTCTTTCCTAACCCACAAACCTTTCTAAGTCCTAATAAGATTCCTGCTTCTTGGTAGCATTCTTCTGTCTTGGGTACCCAAACTACCCTCTTTCCAGTTTTTGAGAATAGCAAAGGGTTTCTCAAGACCTAGAGTGGTTGGAGTGGTGAGGACTGTCACGATGTTGAAAGGATTGGGATAGTAGATATATTCTATTATCCCTGCTGTGTCTCCCCCCACCCCCACCAATGAAAAATGGGTGATGTATTTGTGAAAGGTTATGAATGTGGCCCCTTGTTATCTGCTGGGTGGGGAGTTGTTCTTACCGTCTCTTCTTACAGGCTCAATAAGATTGTAGTGAAGAGAAGTTGTGGCAGTGCAGAGAGAACGCAAGGATATATAAGTTGCTTTCATAAGGAGCATTGCATCATGAACTTCCTTCTTTCACTTCCAATTTACAGTAAGTGAATAAGAAAGAACAAAGTAGTGGGATGCTTTCTCTTACTCTTGAAGGCCTTTCTGGTGTCTTCCTTATATTCTTGATACTGCCTGAAGAAGAATTCACCATGTACAGGCCCACTGAACAAATATATCTCCTAGAGAGATCATTGTCAAAAGCTTTTGTTCATAAATGATATGATGATTAAAAACTCCCAATTCAGTGTATGGGCGGGGTTCACCAAGGGTTTCTGGACATAAGAGACCTCCTGGTGTTCTGAGGATCCTTGGGACCTGGAGAAAAGTGTCTGAAGCCTTCACGCCCACAGTTTTCTAATTAAAGTAACAGACATGGGGAAATTCAGGAAATTCTCATCACAGGCCATCTCAGTTGTCACAGTTGCCTCACTAAGAACAACCACTTCCTGTCTTTAATGTCAGCCAAAAGTTTCCTTTTTGGGGAGTTCCTATTTTCACATCTTCTTAGCCCAGGAAAGACAATAGCTTGTGGGCTGCAGAGTGTTCTTTTGTTGAATGACAGTTGTCACCATGGCGTTCTGAAGGTGCAAGCAAGTTTCTGTCAATATAGTATACTTCATGAGGGAGAGCTTCAGTTTTGCTCCTGGGGCTGCAATGGATATCCACTGGGAACTCAACCCAGGATATTTCCACTCTTATGCTCAGGAAAATAATATTCTAACCAATAGAAATGACGTGTATCATATCTAGTCACCATTCCCTTTATTTCTGATATTCAGCCTTTGCTTATGTAGCTGATGCACAAGAGAGAGGTATCAGCAAGCTTGGAAGATTTGCAGAACTCCAAAAATAGGGGGAATAGATAGATAGATAATAAGATAGAACCCCAACTCACCCAAACAGGCCAATAGTATCTGTATTCAGTGGGTTTCCAATGCCTGGTTAAAAGTCTGTCCTGATGGAGCTGTACACAAACCACTTTGAAAGGTGTTTCATAACTGTGGGGACACCACCGAAAAGCTCCTTTCTCTCATGCTCACCGATCTAACTGATCTTACCAACTGGACTACTAGCAAGACCTCTGAACCTTCCCTTAAGACACAGAGAGGTTTACTTTGGCAGAATAAAATTGCCAACCTGTAGAGAACCTGCAAGTTTTGTTCTGAGTGGTGCATAAAAGCTGGGTGGCGATGGAAAAGGGATGATTTCAATTGGAAGTGTCATTGTCCCAATCAGAATAAGCTCCATCTTCCACAGCTGTGATTAACACCCCACAAAAATACCCATGGGAAGATAAGGACCTCCTGCTTCAGGTCTACTTTGGTTCTAGGTTTTATAAGGTACCACAAGACTGAGCTGTTTTAACAAAATATTCAGTGATTTGCATAATAAACCGTTCCCATAACTATAGGGTTGGATCTAATTAAATCATATTTAAGAGTAGACTCATTGACTAACGAATCCATGGATTTCACTGTGTCTACTCTAATCATGACTTATTTGGTTAAAACCCATGCCCAAATTAATGTAACATCAGGTGGTGTGGGACCACACAGTGTTACACAATTGATGGATAGACCCCAACTGACCTCTTCCTCTTTGTGGGAAGCAGCAGAAATTATAGGAAACAGTTGTGACTCAAACAGTGGGGAACATGAGGCCAAATGGCCGAAATATTGGGAAATTTTGGAACAAGTGGGAGACAAACTGAAATTGCAGAGTTATGAAAAACTAAAAAACAAAGTGCGAGATTGGCTTCATTATTATCAAATAATGGAGGCATACAATTCGGATAAAAAAATTGAATTCCAGGTGGAAAAATCAAAATTGGAAACAGAACTGTTAGATCCCAAAACTAAGACTTTGTCAAGGATGTATAACTTGCTGTTGAAATGGAATACGCAGGATGAAACGGTGAAATCTGCTATGATTAAATGGGCTCAAGATGTTGGACATAACATTATGATGGCTGACTGGGAACAGTTATGGACCACAGGTATGAAGTTTACGGCATGCAATGCCTTAAGAGAGAATATTATGAAAATGATATACAGGTGGTACATGACACCAGTCAAGCTTGCAAAAATCTATCATTTGCCCGATAATAAGTGTTGGAAATGTAAAGAAACTGAAGGTACATTCTTTCACCTTTGGTGGACGTGCCCAAGGATTAAGGCTTTCTGGGAGATGATATATAATGAAATGAAAAAGGTATTTAAATATACCTTTCTGAAGAAACCAGAGGCCTTTCTCCTGGGCATTGTCAGCCAATTGGTGCTAAAGAAGGATAGAACTTTCTTTATGTATGCTACAACAGCAGCGAGAATACTTATTGCAAAGTATTGGAAGACACAAGATCTACCCACCCTGGAAGAATGGCAGATGAAGGTGATGGACTACATGGAACTGGCAGAAATGACCGGCAGAATCCGAGACCAGGGAGAAGAGTCGGTGGAAGAAGATTGGAAGAAATTTAAAGACTACCTACAGAAATATTGTAAAATTAATGAATGTTAGAATGATATGGATGAAAAGTTATGTGGTTTTTAGCTATAAGGAGTATGAAAAAAAAATGGACTATTAACAGACAAAAATTTAATGTTACATTATTTTAAGATTAAAGATTAGGATAAACAAAGAGGGGAAGGATTTGCTGAACTAACAAATTGAACTGGAATACAAAAAGGGAGGTGTGAGGAGGTCCGGGAAATAAGCAAATGAAAGAAAGTGATGGAAAGATGGAATTGTTTTTTATCTATTTTTATTTTGTATTTTTCTTTTTTCTTTTTTCATTTTGTAAAATTCTAATAAATATCTTTTAAAAAACAAAACAGTGGGGAACATGTGGCTAGAGCTGAAAAATATTTCCATCTACTGTATAGACAGTGGTACCTCTGGATACGAACGGGATCTGTTCCAGAGCCCCGTTCGCATCCTGAAGTAAACATAACCCACGAGTGCGCGACTGCGTGTGCGCAGGTCGCATTTTGCCACTTCTACACCTGCGTGTGATGTCATTTTGAGCATCTGCGCATGTGCGAGCGGCGAAACCCAGAAGTAACGGACTCCATTACTTCCATTACTTGCGGAACGCAATCCGAAAATATTCATCCCAAAGCTACATCAACCTGAGGTATGACTGTACTCGGGTATAAGCTGACTTTTTCAGCACATTTTTTACGCTGAAAAAGCCCCCCCCCCCAGCTTATACTTGAGTGAGGCTGATGGCGGCGGAGGGACAAGTGGCCCGAAAGGAGCCCTTTCTTGCTGCTGGTCCCACTGCTGCCTCCCGCCTCTCACTAGGGCAGGCACAGGAGCTGTGGTTGGGAGAGGTGCTGCACTGTGCTGTGCCTCTCCCAACTGTGGCTCCTATCTCTGCTCTTGCAAGCGGCAGAGGCGGCAGCAGAGGGACAAGTGGCCCGAAAGGAGCCCTTTCTTGCCAATGGTCCCGCCGCTGCTGCCCGCCATCATCCCTGACCACTGTTATTGTTAGCTAGGGATGATGGGAGTTGTAGTCCCAAAACATCTGGAGGGCCGAGTTTGCCTATGCCTGTCCTAAAGGCTTATTTATAAGCCTCAGACAGAGTCGTGGAAGGGAGCAGGGCAAGGGCGGAGCTTTCTTACTGAGAAGAGAAAAGGAACTGGTGAGAAGTGGTTGGCTGGGTTATGAGCAAAGCTCCTCTGGTCTGACGGGAACATAGAGAAGCTCTGATGTGACACAGCCGTTTTGAGAGCCCTGACTTGGAGTTCAGTGATTCACTCTGTCAAAGACAGGACAATAACCTAATTTGGAGCATGTTAAGTGGAAAATACTTATTTCTATGCAAGGGAGCTTATATTATAACCATTGTTAGGAAGAAGCATAGGAGCTCAGAAAGCTGCCTTCTACTGATTCATTTACATCAGAATTATCTACACTGACTGACAGTGGCATTCTGGGGCTGAAGGCAAGTTTCTCTCCCACCTCAGCCCAGATGTTTTGCATACAGAACAGATGCTCTGCCACTAAGCTACAGCCCTTGCTGTAGCCAGAGGACCTGTTTCCAGATAGGATAAGTGCCTGCCCCTGTTAGCAGTAGGTGTGGCATGAGGATATGATAGTGGAGGGGAGGTTTTGTTAATGCAATCAGATTTTTTTCAGGGTAGTGATAGGACACTGGGTGGGCTGGTGGAGTGCTGCCATGCACAAGGAGCCTCAGAAATAATAAAGGCCTGGTGGTTTTTTTTTTTAAAAAAGATGTTGGATAGTTTTATTGTTTCCAGTTTTATACAAGCAAACCACAGAAGCCATTCTTTCCAAAGTGTTCCTGGCCCACTGGTCCAGCAGAAGACTAGGAATGGGAAAGGGTCGCCACTTATGCAGGGCTGCCCTGCCCATGAGGAAGGCTGAAGCAGCCATCTTGGACAGTGGAATCCCATGGGGCAGTGCCCACACAGGGACCCCGCCTGCCCTACCACCACTGGGGAATGCAGAGCAGTAGGAGAGATCTCCCTGGAAGCCACTTCTGTGCAAGCAGGGTAAGCAAGGCTTCGGCTAGGGACACTTTCCTGTTTTGCCTCAGGCGGCGAAATGGGATGGGCTGCCCCTTGCACTTATGCATTGCCATCAAATTTACTTTTGCTAATATATATGTACAGGTGCAAATTTAGCTAGTACTTTTATCCAAACGATGGGACGTGGGTGGCGCTGTGGGTTAAACCACAGAGCCTAGGACTTACCGATCAGAAGGTTGGCAGTTCAAATCCCCGTGACGGGGTGAGCTCCCGTTGCTTGGTCCCTGCTCCTGCCAACCTAGCAGTTCGAAAGCACGTCAAAGTGCAAGTAGATAAATAGATACCACTCCGGCGGGAAGGTAAACGGCGTTTCTGTGCGCTGCTCTGGTTCGCCAGAAGCGGCTGGCCACATGACCCGGAAGCTGTCTGCGGACAAACGCTGGCTCCCTTGGCCTATAGAGCGAGATGAGCACGCAACCCCAGAGTCTGTCATGACTGGACCTAACGGTCAGGGGTCCCTTTACTTTTACTTTTATCCAAACAACACAACTCACCTTGGGGTGCGGATAGCCAGGTGGCCTGCATGCCTGCTTTCCCTACTGGTCTTTAAACTGGACTTGAACCAAACAGTGCTTCAAAAAGAGGGTTCTTTCAAATAGAGGTCATTTG